AACATTCCAAAGTCAATCGCTGACAGATAACAATTTTTAAATGTTATCATTTGTATATTTTTAACATTTAATCATTGCATCAAACGAGAGTCAATCGTTTCCTGGCCGCATGTAATGAATAAAGATTGGTTGAATATTTCAACAGAAGAAAAGTTCTTTGATTCATGGCAGTTGTTTGCCCATGACGCACATTTTTCCAATGTTGCCAGAACTCTTGACAGGAATAAACCACTAGAAATAGGAATTGGAAAAAGATAACCAACCTCATCTCGTCCAATCAGTCTTGTAATTACATTGACAGACGACCCTCAAACATAGATTAACAATAAGACACAATTCTGAGCTTCTAATATTCGATATTTCTACTGCTGCTACGTCGACAACACGATAAATTATAATGTCAGTGACATTGAATCGTCATTTCCTACAGAAATATGACGTATACAGTTTTTAACTTCCTGGTTTATTTCCGTTGCTGTAAAAGGAAAGATATAAGATTAACGTTAAAAAAATATTTTACAAATAAAGAGTTTGTTTTGCTCATTTATTACACGAGAATTGATCGTGTAAAGAAATTCTTATTGCAAATAAACTATTATTTATTTTCTTTCTCTAAGACGTATCTGAATGGTATGTTTCGTGACACAAAACGATGTTTTTGTCTGTCTTCAGTTAAATTATTATAACAACAATTTTATTTCTGAATGTGAAGTAAATATAAAATGTATTCCTTTCATATTCGTTAATTGTTTTTTTAGTTCGTAAAATTATAAATCTATTATGACGAAATATAAAATATTTCTTCGAGTAAAAAACTTAAAATATATGAGGCAGATTGAGGCAAATAATTAATTTAATACAAGATATTATCTATTTGATAATTCGTCACTTTACCATTAATCCTTGAATAAGTATTGATTGTCTTTATTACGTAGAACTGTTTTTTGAATGTGTATTGTACGTCATCACAAACGATACGTAGATGTTGCTAGACAATAAAAACATTTGAATAGATAACATAAATTACGTCATCATTGGATACACCACAGGTCGAATTACGTCGAACTCTCCGGACGTTACAATACGAGTTCGAACGAGACTGCCGAAACGGAAGGAAGAATATTCGTGTTCGGCCCTTATTACTGCGGGGAATAAGAACCTTCTCTGCAGCACGGGGAATTTCCTAATCGCCTCCCGAAACACATAAAATGTCCCGAAACACATAAAATGTTTCGGGAGGCGATTAGGAGACGGCAATATATTCCCCTGGAAGGGAAAGAGAGGAGGAGAAAACTCTGCATGTTCAATTCAGGTGTACCCAGAAGGTCCTGCGATTGCGCTTGCGCCACTGCTTTGTAGGCCTACGTCTGCTTCATCTGATAATTCATCATCAGATGATGTAGGTATATATATATATCTCCATCATCTGATTCAGAATCAAAAGGGCATTTTTCTATGTCATCGGAACTTTGCATCGGAAGTCTACTCGACATTTCCTCTTTGAAACAAAACACACGTAGAAAGAATTGGATTGCTAAAAATGTGACAGACATCTTATATTTATACTGAGTGGCCCATAAATGTAACCGTTCTAACCAATAATATTTTAAATAGAAACGACAATATATTTGACTTTGGATTTATGATCGTGTTTATAACTTTCTGACCTTGTTAGCAGCTGTTGATCAAAGTTCGCGGAACGTTGTCCTTAACGCGAGAATCTATGGGGGGTAAGCACTAGCAATCATAAATCCTCAAATATAACGAGATTTTCTATCATTAAATTAATATGTAAATGTTATTTTACTAAAAAAAGCGTTCTTAAAAAAATTTTTAAAATACGTTTTTTATTTGCCTAGATTATAACGCAAAGGCATCTGTTTATTTTCAAAGAAAACAAATGCACGTGTTTTGCTATCAGGGGTTAAAAGAGTACAATTACTTCCTGACTCAGCAGGAGAATGGTGGGGTTGGGGTAACTAGGTCAGGTTAATTAGTTTTAAACGTATTTCTGCTTCGAAAAGTGAATATTAGACACTATATACATATTTGAAGGAATATTACAATAATTGACAATAATAAGTGATTAATTTATTTTTTCCGCCATTACGCAACAACCAGAAGTAACAACTTTCGTGGAAAATTTTAGGGTTGAATGTTTCTGATGAGTCAATTTCTAACCTAAATAAAGTCGCTTAACATGAAAATTGGCGAAATTAGAAGTAAAAATGAAGAAAATAGCAATTTTTAAACGTTTGTATACGTTCTGACTTCGATGACATGATCTGGAAGAGGCGTGCAATTTTGCGGGAAAATTCCCAACGGATTGTTCTGAAAGAACGCCGATTGCATGAACTAAAGTCATTCGTAATAGAAATTACCACTTAGAGCATAAAAGGCGTGTCAACAAAAACTATAAAAGCCGATTAACGGCAGAAGGTCTCCCCTAGACTTACTATAAAGAGGTGGAGTTTGGCGAGATTATTTNCTCCCGGTAAAATTTTCGACTGGAAGCTTTTGATAAGAAATATTCTGGTCTAAAAAATCATATAACATAAAAATTAATAATTTATAGTTACAAAATAAAGAAAACAGCTATTTTTAAAGCCATTATTTACATTACGTCTCTAATTACTATAATGGAAGGGGAATGGATGAGTCATCTGTAGGTCGAAGTTAACACAAGTTTCCTTCCAGATAATGTATACTATATATTACTTTTATATTATTTAGACTATTTTTACAATATTTGACTGTAATTCGCAATTTTGCATGCGTTTATTTACATATTTTCTCATATTATGTAATGTCAGAAGTAGTAGAATTTCCCGGAAAAATTTTCGAGTAATCTTCTAATCTAAGTAAAGTCAAATAACATGACAACTAGTAAAATTACAGATATAACATGAAGAAAATAGCTATTTCTCAACGTTTGTTTACGTTTTAACTCCGAACACGTGATTTTGGAAGTCATTGGTTCTTCGCGGGAAAATCCTGAATAGTCGGTTCTGAAAAACACTTGTTGATTTATATTGATTCAGTCATAATAGAATTGACTAAATAGAGAGTAAAAGGCGTTTAAACAAGAAATTTAAAGCCAATTAACGGCAAAAAGGTCTCCCATAGACATACCATTAGAAGGTGGAGTTTCCCGGGAATATTTATGACTAGAGATAAACCGGTTTGTCGATGTTACGGTCAGACAACCTAAAGAGAAGCCAGTTCAAGTAATTATATTCAGAACATTTATCACACCGGGAAGCCGATGCCATGACATTACGTGTAACTTGACACACCCAGATCATAAATCAATCTTTGAACGTAAACATCAGGGGTTCTATTGAAGCTAGAATGACGCGTTAGTTTTGTTACACGTAGAAACACTTTCAACTTTGTAACTGCTGTGTTAAACAATACGATTTTTTAAAGTTAATTTTTTAAAATGAAATACCTAGAACTTTTGTCTTTTTAATTACCGCTGGGAATAAGAACGTTCTCTGCAGCACGAAAAATTTCCTTTTCTAGTGTAAGTCTCTATCCCAGTCGGCCATTATTTACAACAATCTCCAAAACTACAGATTTCGTGTATAAATTTGTAAAACTGGTGTAGACATAAATCTCACGAATTTCTTTTCTTTTCTTGTCTTTTAGGTGGACTTTTCTGGAGTTTCTGGACGAAGAAGAAATTGGTGTGGTTCCGGTAAACTGGTCGTTGTAAAGAACCGTCTTTTCCGCGTAAAGCCTATACAAAGCATAAATTCAATTAAACGTAAGATTTAGTTTATGAAATTAACGTATTAAGTGTTGAACGCGTAGTCTTAAACACAGAGTCCTGTCCAAATAATAGCAATCACTTTTCGAGCGCTTCCGATAAAAACTGGCCTTTGAAAATTGAGTGTTTAGCTTATAAGTATGGAAATTCTGTCTATTGTAGAAATGGCAATAGTAGAGTCGATCTAATCTACACGCTGGAACTACGTAATGTGGTCTGGATTCTAGGCGAATTCCGTTTATTTTTTAATATGCAACATAGTTATTATATTATTATAGCGTATGATTAGCATTATTGTTACATTGATCACCTCGTAGTATATAAGTGTCGGGGAGAAAGAAGAGCATCACTTTCGGAAAAAGTCCGAAGAATGGAAGGAACGGCAACACAGTTAAAAGCGTAGCAGCACCTTCGAGAAGAAAGAATAAAAGCATAAAAAAGTTCACTGTAAAGGGGTCATACCTACTAACGAGGAAAACGAAAAAGCATACTCGTAGGGATGATCGAAAGTTACACTCAGGTACTGGTGTATCTTCCCAGCAGTGCTGCCGTTTCTAGAGTAATTTGAACCTCTCGGAGTACTGTATAGGGTAATCATATATTTTGAGTAAATCTAGGATAAAACTAACGTATCCACTAACGTATAATATTTTATTTGAAAGCTTTTAGAGTGGTTTGCGGCCGACGTTTCCAACGCGAAAACGTGTACGTCCGACGCTCAGTGCCACCATCCTGTAAGCCTAGAAGTTTCACAATGTCCTACAAGTTTTCGCGTTGAAAACTTCGTCCCAACCTCTATATTAATTCAATGAACCTCTGACAAATGAACCTCTGACAAACGTTTTGTATTTGTTTTTAAAAGGAAATCTGTATTAATTTTAGGCGGATAAAGACACTAGAAGAACTCTACGTGTTGTTTAATTGTTTCAAACCAGGTTGCTGGATTTTCTATTATTTTAATTTTATTATTATATAAATTATTGTTTTATCGATGTAAA